TTTTTTTTTTTTTTTTTTTTTTAAAGAGCCTACACAGGGGCCAGGCGGGGCACCTATGGGGGGAGCTTGGAGAGCAGGTGGGGGTTGGGGTGCTCGAGGCAGAAGCACCACACAGCATGGGGCAGCAGGGAACTACCTCCCCCCTGCACCTGGCAGCTGCCAGTGAGTGGGAGCTTTAAAAAAAAAAAAAAAAGAAAGAAAAAGAAAAAGAAAAGAGAGCCAGGAGCTAGGACTGGGCAAAGTATGGGGGCTTGTGACATAGCCCCCACGCAGCGCAGGGCAACGGGGACCATCCCCCACCTGGCAGCAGCTGATGAGTGCCAAGCTTTTTTTTTTTTTTTTAAGACATGGGAGCTGATGCCAGGAGGGGCAGCCATTGACAGGGCTGGGAGATTGGGCAGGGGATGGGGTCTGTCCGATTCAGAGATCTGGCCAATTCAGCAGTGGCTAAATCTCCAAATCAGTTTCAGCCGAATCGATTCTCTCAACGACCTGCACATCACAACGAGAGGCATGCTCGGGTGGGATGGGCTCCACCGTTCCCCTAAAGGTAAGTGTGTGTTCTCTTCTACGTTGGTGGATCTCCTTCAGTGGGCTTTAAACTAGGCTTGTCAGGGGAAGACGAGGGAGGAAGCTTTGGACTGCTAAACCAAGCAGCACTCACAAGTACAGTCCAGCCTAGACTGACAAGGGGAGAATATACACAGGTAAGCACCAGGGGCCAGGGCAATGCTGTGATTAGGGGGCCAGTACACACATCCACAGGAGGCCTCAAATGCCTCTACACAAAGACTCGTAGTATGGGAAACAAGCAGGAGGAACTTACCCTCCTGCTAACTGACACCAACCCAGACACAGCGGGGCTCACTGAAACCAATGCATGACTGGGCAGTGAATATCAAGGGCTATAGGCTGTACAGGAGGGACAGGACAGGGAGGAAAGGCGGGGGTGTGGCGCTCTACATTAAGGAGGAATACACATCCTCATCAGGTAGCAGAGATTCAGAGGAGG